AACCATAGAAAGAGACAAAGAAGGCCACTATATGATGATAAAGGGATCTATCTGATAAGAAGACATCATAAATATATATGCACCCAACACTGGAGTGCCCACATATATAAAGTAAACACTATCAGGCCTAAAGAAAGAGATAGACCCCAATACGTTAATAGTAGGGTACCTGAGTACACCTCTCACAGCACTGGACAGATCATTTAGGCAACAAATCAACAGAGAAACACAGGATTTAAACTACACTAAAGACCAATTGTACCTGGCAGATATCTACAGAACATTTCATCCAACAACTACACAATATACTTTCTTCTCATTAGCACATAGAACATTCTCCAGGATAGATCACGTTAGGTCACAAATCAAGTCTCAGCAAATTTTAAAAAATCAAAATCATCTTAAGTATCTTTTCATACCACAGTGGATTCAAGCTAGAAACCAATAACAAGCGACACTCTGGAAACTACAAATATGTAGAAATTAAACAACATGCTCCCAAACCACCTATGGGTTCAAGAAGAAATTAAACAGGAATCAAAAAATTTCTTGAAACTAATGAAAATAAAGACACATCATACCAAAACCTGTGGGAAACTGCAAAAAAAGTACTAAGAGGGAAGTTTATTGCAATAAACACTTACATCAGAAGAACAGAAAGATTTCAAATAAACAATCTAATGCTACACCTCAAAGAAATAGAGAAACAAGAACAATACAATCCCCAAATTAGCAGACGTAAACAAATAATTAAGATCAGAGCAGAACTAAATGAAATAGAGACCCCAAATAATGATACAAAAGATTAATGAAACAAAAAGTTGTTTTTATAAGAAGATAAACAACACAGACAAACCATTAGCTAGGTTAACTAAAAAAAGAAGAGAGAAGACCTAAATAACAAAAGTCAGAAATAAAAAGGAGACATTACAACTGATACCACAGAAATACAAAGAATCATTAGAGACTATTATAAACAACTATACGCCAACAAATTCGAAAACCTGGAGGAAATGGATAAATTTCTGGACACATACAAACTACTAAGACTGAACCAAGAAGAAATAGAGAACCTGAACAGACCAATAACAGGCAACAAGACTGAACCAGTAATCAGCAGTATCACAACAAAGAAAAGCCCAGGACCAGATGCCTTTACTGCTGAATTCTACTAAACCTTTAAAGAGCAATTAATACCAATTCTCTTCAAACTATTTCAAAAAATTGAAAGCAGAGGTCATTCTCCCAAACTCATTCTGTGAGGCCAGCATCACCCTGATACCAAAACCAGACAAAGATACAACAGAAAAAAAAGAAAACTACAGGCAAATATGAAGAAATAGAGAACCTGAACAGACCAATAACAGGCAACAAGACTGAACCAGTAATCAGCAGTATCACAACAAAGAAAAGCCCAGGACCAGATGCCTTTACTGCTGAATTCTACTAAACCTTTAAAGAGCAATTAATACCAATTCTCTTCAAACTATTTCAAAAAATTGAAAGCAGAGGTCATTCTCCCAAACTCATTCTGTGAGGCCAGCATCACCCTGATACCAAAACCAGACAAAGATACAACAGAAAAAAAAGAAAACTACAGGCAAATATGTCTGATGAACATAGATGCAAAAATCCTCAACAAAATATTACCAATCAGAATATAGCAACACATCAAAAAAATTATACACCATGATCAAGGAGGATCCATCCCAGGGATGCAAGGATGGTTCAACATACAGAAAAGTCAGTAAGTGTGATACATCACTTGAACAAAATCAAGGATAAAAACCATATGATTATGTTAATAGATGAAGAAAATTCATTTCACAACATTGAACATTCCTTCATAATAAAGACTCTCAGTAAATCAGGTATAGAAGGAAAGTATCTCTCAACACAATAAAAGCCATATATGACAAACCCATCACCCATATCATCCTGAATGGAGAAAAGCTAAAAGCTGTTCCTTAAGAACGGGAATAAGACAAGGACGCTCACTCTCACCACTCCTATGTAACACAGTATTGGAAGTACCAGCCAGAGCAATCAATAGAGAAAGAAATAAAGGGCATCCACATTGGAAAGGACAAAGTCAAACTGTCCCTGTTTGCAGATGACATGATCCTATATACAGAAAATCTAAAGACTCTACCAAAAAACTCTTAGAGCTGATAAATGATTTCAGTAAATTTGCAGGATACAAAATCAGCATGCAAAAATCAGTAGTGTTTTAATACTCCAATGACAAACTAAAAGAAATCAAGAAAGCAAGTCCATTTACAATATATATGCCCAGCAAGGTATATATAAAATAAATACCAAAAAAATAAAATACCTTGGAATGAATTTAACCAAGGAGGTGAAAGATCTCTACAATGAGAACTACAGATCACTGCTGAAAGAAAGGGGACACAAAAAGATGGAAAAACATTCCATACTCTTGGATTGGAAGAATTAACATTGTGAAAATGTCCACAGTACCCAAAGTAATATACAGATTCAATGTGATCCCCATCAAAATACCAATGACAGTCTTCACAGGAACAGACAAAACAAAAAAATCTAACATTTCATATGGAACAACAAAAGCCAAAGCAATCCTGAGCAAATAAAATAAAGCCAGAAGCATTACATTACAAAGCTACATTGACCAAAACAGAATGGTACTGGCATAAAAACAGAAACTTGGACCAATGGAATGAACAGAGAACCCAGAAATCAACCCACATAACTTAGAGCCAACTGATATTTGACACAGGGAACAGGAGCATACATTGGGGAAAGGACAGCCTCTTCAATGAGTGGTACTGGGAAAACAGGTCATCCATATGTAGAAGAATGAAACTAGACCTGTACCTCTCACCATATACCAAAATCAACTCAAAATGCATTAAAGACTTTAAGACCTGAAACTATAAAACTACTAAAAGAAAATATAGGGGAAACACTTCAGGAAGTAGGACTGGGCAAAGACTATGAATAGGACCCCAAAAGCACAGACAACAAAAGAAAAAAATAAAATGGGATTATATCAAACTAATAAGCTTCTGCACAGCAAAAGAAACAGTTAACAGAGCAAAAAGACAACCTACAGAATGGGAGAAAATATTCACAAACCATGCACCTGAAAAGGGATTAATATCCAGAATATACAAGGAACTCAAACAACTTAACAGTAGAAAAACAAATAACTCGATTAAAAAATAGGCAAAGGAGCTGAATAGACATCTCTCAAAGGAAGACATACAAATTGGCAATAGACACATGAAAAAAATGCTCAACATCACTAAGCATCAGGGAAATGCAAATCAAATTGCACTGAGATATCATCTCATGACAGTTAGACTGACCATTATCAAAAAGACAGAATAACAAATGCTGGCAAGGATGTGGAGAAAGGGGAACCGAACCCTCCTACACTGTTGGTGGGACTATAAATTAATAGAGCCATTATGGAAAACATATAGAGTTTCCTCAAACAACTACAGATAGAACTGCCATATGATCCAGCAATCCCAAAGCAATGGAAATCATCATGTCAAAGGGATACCTGCATTCCCATGTTTATCACAGCTCTATTTACAATAGCTGAGAGTTGGAACCAACCTAAATGTCCATTGACAGGTGACTGGATAAGGAAAATGTGGTATATATACACAATAGACTACTCTACCATAAAAAGGAATGAAGTACTGCCATTTGCAGCAATATGGATGAACTTAGAGAAAATTATGTTAAGTGAAATAAGCCACGCACAGAAAGAGAAATAGTGGACGTCCTCACTCACAGTGGAGCTGAAAAAAAAAATAAACAAAAAAAGAAAGCGAGAAAGATACAACAATCACAATAATTTGTTGAACTTTCAAAAGGAGAGAACAGAACTGAGGCCACCAGAGGTGAGAAAGGGGGAGGGGAGGGGAGGTTATTGAGAAATTGGTAAACAGCCACAAAAAATGATTACATTGTGATGATAAATATAGTAATAATAAATAAATAAATAAAAACATTTCTAACAGTTACCTATTTGTGTTTGGCTAAATATCTGCACAGCTGTGAAGAAACTCAGTTGGGCAGGGGGTAAGGATAGCAAGTGATCAATACATGCAATCTGGGTTTCTGCATATTTTTTAATGATGATATCAACATTAATTTGTTGTATCTACACTATTCTACCTTTAATAAAGTCATTACCACCTATCAGTGAATGATGTTTGCATTTATTTCTACAAGAATATTTCAATTACACACCTTATTTCCCTAGAAAAAACTAGTCCTAGTCCACATTTCAATGTTGGGTTACAATTATCAAGGACATACCGTTATACTTCGAAATTGAAGTATCAAAAGAAAGTTTTATGAACTTTTTTCCAGACTCTACTATTTCTTTGTTTGTTTAGCCTTCAGCCTGGAAAAATTTAGGCATGCAGGAATTAAATCAATTCCTCTGTTTGAATTTCACATGAGAACTCAACAGAAATACATATATCTGAAGACAACCCAGAAGAACTGATGTGGAAAAATGCTGGCCAGTTTTCCTCCCATATTTTAATTTCTCTCAGAAAAACCAGAGGAGAAAGACTTGAGCCAAAGAAAATGAGCACAAGTTTGAACTTCAGAGGAGTATATAACATAAGGAGACTGTGACATTAACTCCTTAGAAGTCTATGCTCCATCCTTGCTCTAGCTCTAATATAATGAGTAAGCAATTCAAAGTGTCCCCAAGGTGCTATGCTCTACCATTTCAAGAACTGCTTCAGCTAATAAGATGCAGGGTATGGATTAGGATCCCCCACATTCCCATTTAACCCCTTGGAAAGGGAAACAATTTTCCTAATGTCATTGTCTACTTTTTTTCTGGTTTATACTTGATAAGAAATTCAATCTTAGATGAGAACAAGCTGAAATCACAGAGGTTGTCATATTCATTTTGTTTGAACTATCTCTTAAGATATCTACTGTTACTCACATGAAAACGATACCTGGGGACCCCATGTTCTCACCTGAAATGAAGGAACTGGGGTCCGGCTGAAGGGAACGGAACTGATTGACATAGTACTCGCGCTGTTCTTCTGTTATCCTCCAGGGCTCGTCCAGGTAATTACTGTTATTATCCTGCAGTTCTCTCTCCACTGAAAAGGACTTTAAAAATAAATTTAAAAAAGTAAATGCTCAGAGAAACTGTCTTTAGTGAGATGAAGTAAAAAAAATTAAACACAAATATAACTTATTATGCATTATACTTAATTTTCTCCTCAAAGGAATAAATTTAACTGCCTCATAACTAGAATGTAACTAGAACATAAACTTGAGGACAGACATCATGCTTTATACGTTTTTTGTATTCCCCAAAGTTGTAAACAGGATTGAGCATGAAATACTGAACACACAGTGAGCAACAAAAATTTTTCCAATGTGATTAAGGAAGGATTTTTTTTTTTAAAAGTCAATCGTTCTTATCTTCAAGTATTCACCACATTTTGAACCTTTCAGGTTAGCTGAGTAGATAGTAAAATAATCTAGATTCTTTTTAAACCATGAAGATAAAAACTAGAATAGCTATAACTACATCTTTTTTTCTGTTGCATTAACACTGTATAAATTCAGAAGTCAAAAGCTCCCTTTCAAATCCCGTATCCCCCAGTCCTACTTGAGTGACAAGTCAGGACCACTGAATCTCTCATTCCACACTTGTGAATTGGGGGTAATATTTAGTGATAGAGCTGGGTGGTAAGAACAAGTTGTCATACCACAATAATCAGGGTAACAAGGGGGTGCATCAAACCTACCACTAGAGGGCGTGCAAGTCAAATTTGAGTATTTAAGAACCCAGAAAACCAGAGAAGCCACAGAGGAGAAAGCAAAGCTGTGCTAGGCATTGCAGAAAGAAGCAAAGATGGCAATGCTGGCAGACTTTAGCCATTACTGCTAAAGAGCGATCAAGTTGCCTGCTTCTGAGCACACTGTCAAGGAATTAATCACTGGGAGGGCATTCTACCCACTACCCCTAAAAACGACATCCGACCAACTCCTTCCCCATCCCGACCCCCCCCACACACACACACACCATTCCAAGAATTAATTATTACCAGGAAAATCTGTCTTCACTCTGACAATGTTCAGAGAAGGAGACTATATACAATTTTGAGCTGTGATGTAACCTTGAGATGTCATCTTTGAAGTAAAGTATCTGTTACTTCAACAAGCTTCCGATTGCCCACATGCTAACTCCTCATGGGTCAGATTTGTGTCTTCTTCCCAGAATACTCTTCCTCTGATCCCAGCCTGCTCAAATCCCGCCCATTCTTCAAGTCCTGCTGCCCCAAAGTGCTCTCCAATGTACCAGTCATGCCCACAGCCACAATGAGGGCACTGCCCATCCCCCTGCTCTGCTACAAAGGTGGGCCCAGTAGCCATGTGTGATCATATGACTTACCTCATGGCTGTCTCACCTGAGTGGGGGGTGGGGGGTGGCACACAGTATGCTGCCCTTTGGGATGCTCTGGCATACTCAGGCCAGATGCTCATTCTTGGGGATGCAGACAAGAAGTCCAAAGATCAACAAGCAGAGAAAGCAGACCCTGAGCTGCACAACGGGGCCATGATGTACAGTAAGGGCCAGGTGAGTCTTAAAGTTATGAGGGAGCCAGGGATCAGCAAGGATCAGCAGAAGCGGCAAGGTAGGTAGAGAAGCTATATAAAGAGGAATGGGTAAGGAAGGCTGCCGGCCCCTGAAAGATAAGCAGACAGTGAAGCAAACTCAAGGCAACTAGGGCAAGGCCTCTTAATGGCAGAACAGGCATGAACAACCAAAAACTACCACCCCTACACACCAGTGGGCCAATCCCTGCCTCCCATTTCTTAGATTCCCATGAGAACCTCAACCCTTCCTCCTTTTCAAGAAAACTTAAGCTGGCAAGGACAGTTCCTATTCCCTAAAAACAAAAAGGCCTCACAACAAAGCGAAAGGGCACGTGAACACTGTGTAACATACACATAGCATGGTCCTTCCACTGGCTTGCACTAAGTGTGCTAACCTATTCCCATCTCTTTCCCCCTGCTTCTCACTGTTTTAAACTGATTTAATTTTAAAAATATGAACCTTTATGATAACCATGGTACCACACAGTTTGAACATTTAAAGTGTTCTTAAATATCTTCACCCAGGTTTCAACCTGGAGGGCTAGAACCACATTAGATACTCCTTTATCCCACATACACTCCCTAGCAGGTACACCACAGATAGCAGTGTGAAGTCCACTTATTGACAGGCTCAAGTAAGTTCAAGAGTATGTCCTATATCGGAAGCCATGTAGAAACGCTGCTCTATACTGCTCTTAATGAAAGAAAACCTATGAGTCTATTTCATATTTTAAAGTTTGAAATCTATCAAAACAAGTCCCTGTCTGCCTTCCTGTAGTTCATCTATTGTCTGATCTCTGTGGGGGTTCTCAAGCTCCATATCCACTTAGTGAGTATTTCAAGGACAGTTAGCAGTACATGGAAGGAGTAGATGACATTCCACACACCACTAAGCTGAAATATTCCAAAAGAAAGCTGAACTACTACAAGATGCAAAATGATCTGAACTTCACTGCATAAACAGTGACCTGCTCATTCATTCACTCAACAGATACTTATTAAATGCCAACAGTATCCCAGACACTAGTCACTAGGGATACACTGATAGGCAAATATATTCTTTTTCCTAAGAAGCCTAGAGTCCAGTGAGGGAGAAAGACACATGGGTAATTTCAAAACAAGACAGTACATGCTTTGATAAGATAGGATACTCTAGAGCTTTACTACTCAAAATATGGTCCCCACACCACCCACATCAGCATCACCTGGGGACCTATTAGAAATAGTCTCTTGGGCCCCACCCCACATCTAGTGAATCAGAAAAGTCTAAGAGTAGAGCCCAGGAATTTAGTTTAACAAGCCCTGTAGGTGACTCAAAGCACACTCAAGCTTGAGAAGCAATGCCGCAGGACATGCAGAGCAAGTCAAGCAAAAGGAAGACCATTTGCAGAGATACCAAACCATGAGAGAAAATGGCCATCTCTTGAAAGTAACTCCCTTGGGCTATATATAGATAGAACAGGCTACCAATGCAGAGCAGATGTTAGTGAGTTGCCTCAAGATGAGCCAGACAGAAAGCAGGGCAAAGCTCAAGAAGGTTCAGGTATACCAAGTGAAGGGGGTTACACTGTATATAGAAGACAATAGGGAGCCACAGATAAGTATTAAACGGGGAAATCAAATAATCAGATTTGAGTTACAGAAATATCACTCCAGTGAGGAGAATGGAGGGGAAAAGATAAAAGGCAGGAAGATGGGTTAAGGCCATATGTAAACGTGGCCCAGGGGTGGGGAGGGCTATGAGAGAAATAGGAGAGAAAAAAGGCCATATGGTCACCACCAGAGAAAGGCCCCTTCCAGCAAAGAGGGATGACAGCTCAGCACCTCTTTATCAGCAGCCAGAGGTCATCTCGCTGCAGGACCCAGATGCATGGAACAATCTCCTCCAAACCACACCAAAATCAACCACAACAGTTGATACAATTTGTCAGACAAAGATCTGAAAGGTCAGTCACCTAAAAAAGAATGGCTAATTGCAAAGACTGAAGGCATTGAGCAATGGGGGTAAATGTGCTGTGGGGTCTTAGCTGCCCAAGCAGAAGCCAGAACTAGGAAAAGCTCCACTTTTGCACGTACCCTAAGAGGCATCCCTGGTTCAACTCCAGCTCCAGTGGTTTTGTTGGCTAGGCAGAGATATTTGCTACTTCGTGCCAATTTTAAGCTCTGCCAGTGTTTTTTTTTTTTCCTTCTTGCCTTTTTTTTTGTGACCAGCAACGGATCGCAACCCTCAGTGTCGCACCCGCACCGGACCGGGACCGGCAACAGGATCGCAACCCTCGGCGCTGCCCCCGCACCTCGCTCAGCCAGTGAGCGGCCGGTCTGTATGTGGGATCCGAACCCTCGGCGGGAGCGCCGCCGCACTTCCCAAGCAGCGCACTGTAGCAGTGCGCCACCGGGCCGGCCCTCTGCCAGTGTTTTTAAGAAAAAAAGGAGAAAGAGAAGAAGAAATCTTCCACATCTGTCTGCTTAAGCCACATGCATATGGTTCATTATACAGTTTCTCTCGACACAGGAGAATTAGATTTGCTTATATTTAAAACATTCAACCCCTTGGTTTTGTTTCAAGTGAAATGCAAATATTTGGCATTGCAAGTTATTATCTCTGGGGAAAACATGCTGTTTATAATGAGAAACTTCAAAAGACTCATTTAAAAATACTATTAGTAAAATCTCAAAAGGTGACATTTACCCCCAAAGTATCTTAAAAATCAAGCAAAGCAGGGATAACATGAATTGCAAGGAAGTATTGTCAGGGTGATCTTTAAAAGGATGTGTATATTTTTTCAACCATAGAGCATTTCTGTTGAGAATATAATCCCACCCTGGAGGTATATAAATGCTGCCTTAGAGTCCAGCCATTTCACCTATGAGGGTGTAATCATCTTATAACAGTGTCCTTTTGTGCCTTAGTAAACAAACCATCTGGAGTAGCAAAAGCTCATACCTAGCCCACAGAGAATATGTGAAGACACCTCCTCTACCAAAAATATTTTGGAAATAAGATTACCACAGAGCAATCACTAATCAAAACATGATCTCAGGAGCAAAGATGTAAGACTCAATTACCCTAAAGAGAAAGAATGGCTAACAGGATGGACAGAATACACTACAGCTCAAGTGAATATTAATCTGCCTAAAGAAAGATCGTGGGAATTGGTCAGTCATGGAGCTGAGAAAAAAGAAGGCATAGATGTAAATGATGGCACTGCCGATATGTGAAATTATGGCGGATGTCCTCCGATAGTTCACACCGTTACAGAGTGGCTGCCCAACCAGAAAGAACATTTTCCAGCCTCCCTCGCAGTTAGATGTAGCCATGTGACTGAGCTGTAGCTACTGCAATATGAGCACTAGTGATCTACCCCACTTCCAGGCAGGACTAGCACACTGTGGCCCTCCTCTACGCTCTTCCACATCTGCCCGCTGAACAGGGGGATGGCAGAATCACAGGACAGAAGCAGCTTTGGTGCCTGAATCACTATGTGGAGGAAAGCCGCCTG